TATTGTTGATTTTATATAAGTTAGAATACAAATATAAACAGGAACATTCATAAATGTGTAAACAAATTTAKCAGAAATGCAAGTTTCACGTTCAAAAATTGCTTGATAGCTTTGATAGAAACACTAAAAGTGACTAAGTTAAACACTAAACTTAAAAAATGTCCATCAATTCTSTATCTTTAATGAGTTATTTAGCAGATATTTGAGTTTTTGCTTTATTGTACACCCATTTATTTCCTTATCAGTATTTATTTTTTACCATCTTCCTAATATTTCTTTATTTTTTTTTTACAAAATCCATTAATTTGTGCATTTATTTGTATTTAACGGAATGCAGTTATAAATACTTCTACTACATAAAATATTTTCTGAAATTTATTTTGAATAAAAAAAAGTGTCTAAGGCTGTTTTTAGTTTGTTTTTGATCCTAATCCCTGACATGAAGATCTCATTTCTACATTAAGCTTTTATTGAAATGGCCCAACAACCTTTTATACCCTCTTTACATCCTCAGCCATCAACCTTTCGGCTCCTCGGCCGCAGACACCCTCTTTAACTCGCCGTCTGATGTTTGGAACGTATTTAGTGAAATGACAGGTAGCAGAGTTATTTCCGCTGCATCGACACACTCGGGCTTCTTCTCATGCCAGTCTGTTAGGCACTAAGTGAAGGCGAGAAGTGTGCGCTCGCAGCTTCACTCGGCCCTCCCCTGCACTTCACCGCGGYTCTTTGCAAACTGGAGGTACGCGATCGAGCTCCCGACTCTCTGCCCTCCAGGTTTCCATTACCATAACATAATGTGCGCCGGGCTCGGATTGCTTTAAATCAAAATAGTTTCCCCCCAACCTACCACATGATCCCCCTTTTAATTCATAATGCTGTGAATTGTGAATGAGGCACCTAATTACTCCTTTAATCAATTCGGTGATTAATTAACCCATCAGCTTTTGTGTTGTTAGTATATCACTGCGCTTACAGGAAGCCTCCCTCTTCAGTATGCAAAGATTTTTTTTCTCCAGCAAAAAAAGTACATTTGAATAATGATGAATTAATTAACAGAATCTAATGGAGGTTTAAAGTGGGTGGGATTTAGTGCCACCCTCCTGCCGCCACACATTTGCTTTCACACTTTCTATTTTTTTGTTTTTTGTTCTTCCTTCAAATTAACCATTTTTTTCTCCCAACAGCCAGTTCAGAGGTATGGGCTTGCCCCTGATCCTATTGTTGTTCCGAAGGAGAACCCGGTGGCTCATCAGATCCTGAGGCACGAGTGCCACACTGACAGCCTTTCCCCCCACTTGCCCATTTTTTTCTTTTTTTTTTTTTTTGCCCCCAGGATCGCATTCGAATGCCAACATTTCTGATTTAGAAATTTTGCAAAGCTCTTTTCCTTGCATTGGAAACTGAATGGGACACATTATGGTTGAATGCAAAAGCAAAGCTAAGGCGGAACGCTGGTGACAATTAAGAACCCCCCCCCTCCACCGAAGACATAAAAGCCAAATCGAATTAATTTACCATTTTTTCCCCTCCCGTTTATTCCACCAATCACTGATGCATACTGCAGCCATACGGGCCAGACTTAAGAGGAAATCTCCTCATACAGTGTTTCTTTATTTATTTTCTCTTTATTTCTCAAATTAGGGGGGAAAGGAGCTCTAGTTGTCTAAACCGATTCCATATTTGCATCCAAAACCACAGTGTTAGTCTTTCTTTTCTTACAGTATTTGCATATGGAAGCCCCCTTCCAGATGTTTATTTTTAGGCCGCGGTTCAAGGACTTACCGCAACTAAGGAAATGACTTGGAAAAGAGAAGCACTGAGGAAGGGGAGGGAAAAAAAACCCAGAAAATGAAGTGGAGGCAGAATCGTTTGCTGTATCTTTTAATGCGTTCAGATCTATCTGGGAAGATTTAGGCCTTTTGTTTCCCTGTAGAGGAGAGTTGAGGAGCAGGTTGCATATCTGCAGGCTGCAGCCCTGATGCGTGCAACAAGCAGGCAACATCTTTTGCCAAAAGACACGTTAGCCCACATACTCTTACCACACGCACGCACGCACGCACGCACGCACGCACGCACGCACGCACGCACG